AAATCTTGCAATTGATCTTCATGCTAGAAATAATATATTGAAATTGCAATCATTAACGCATCATCAATTCTCGTCGCCCAGATTTCAAAATTTATTTAAATATGCCTGGTTTAAAAGTGGATATATACAGACTAGACCAACAGAGTTTCAAACACCGATTGAATTTTGCTTCCAAAGTGATTTAACATAAAATGCGATATTTGTAACCAAAATACCATAATTACTTGTTCTTGGTATAAAAAATCATTGTATATGACACATTTTTTCCATTATCATCACTTTTGCAACGAATATGTACCATAAAAATAATACAAATTCATTATTCGCGTGCGTGTTCATATGCAAATTGTGTACTGTTTCTTTATTACATATATTGTTAAATATATATTATTGCCAGTATTATTCTTCCACAATTTATTATATTATTCCTCTCTATCCTGTACTTCTACATTATTATTCCGTAATTAGTATCAAGCTCTTCGTTATATATTGTTTAGTAATTGTTAATGCTGTGTTTATTTTGCATTCAGGTTGGTCGAACGTGCAAGTGTAGAGAAAAAAGTCTTAGTTAAATTTGAGTATGACAATTTTAATCCTTATTAGTAGAGTAATCCTCAAACGAAAAAGAGCCATGTTGCTAGTGAAGATTGAAAAAAGGTACAATTGACAGACGTATCGATATTGCTATTGTTTACAAAGTGATATAACAACATATATCTAAAGGTAAACAAAGAAATAGATGTAGTAGATAGTTATCACTAAGAGAAAAAAGAGAGAAAAGAGAAACGTCGTGAAACGTCCTCACCACCTCGCCCCGTAGGGAGTTCACAGGCGAACCTGAGGAGAGAGAGAGAGAGAGAGAAAGAGGAACGTTGATTGTCGTCCTCACCACCTGACCCCGCAAGGGATCACAGGCGTACCTCAGGCTTGAGAGAGAGAGAGAGAGAGAGAGAGAGAGAGAGAGAGAGAGAGAGAGAGAGAGAGAGAGAGAGAGAGAGAGAGAGAGAGAGAGAGAATAAAATAGAGACTTTCACCTCTATCTTGTTGCGTGAGATAAGTACTATATGGCCGAGAGAGATAGCGAAAGAGAGACTCACAACCTCTTTCGTGATGCGTGAAATAAGTACTATATGGCCGAGAGAGATAGCGAAAGAGAGACTCACAACCTCTTTCATGATGCGTGAGATAAGTACTATATGGCCGAGAGAGATAGCAAAAGAGAGACTCACGACCTCTTTCTATCTCGATATCCAACCAAACACCTCCTGATCAGGATTCATATCACCATAAACGAAAAAGAGTAATCTATAACGCACAGTCTAATCATTAACGTGAAGGTTTCTTAAAACTGATATCTAGTGGTAAAGATAATGCGCAGTTCATATCGGATTTTTACTCGAACTAACCCGTCTCGAAAAGAAGTTCTCAAGCTTCTAGATTGGACTCTCCCTCTTTTTCTCTGACGTGCGTACGCTTCTTCTTGCATATGCGACGCCTAGGTGGAAGAGCTTAAACTGCGATCTCCAGTAATTCCGGCGTCGGTATCTCGAGTGGTTTCTCTTGACGTAACAGTGTTATATTTTCATATCGCACGCTTGCTCTTTCTTGCAGTGGTAATAGAATCTGTGTTTCCTTATTTTATGTATTACGACTTTATTTCAATTCGTCTTGATCGTGTGTCGACTTGCTATTATAATAAACATACTTATTTCAAGAAATATACAAATATACATTGGAAATTTCTGTACAAATAGCGACGCTGCACACGCATTTGCTACTGTTGCCATATATGCACATTTATCTGTACTCACTGTTTTTCTTTGTATAATACATGGCATATTACAATTAATTCGTTTCCATCTTGCAGTAGGATAAATTATGCACAGATAGTTATTAAGCATACTGAAGAGAAAGAACGCCACGTAACAGTACCTACCTACTCGCATAGTGCCTACCACGATGTCATCGTACTGTTTTTCTAAAACTTGAATCGAGGAATCATACTATTATTATATATGGATGGTTACGGAATTCAATGTTTTTTAATTTTTGTTCTTACAAAATTTTTGAAATTTGCGAAAATAATGAGTGGATGGGGGAGCGGGGAGTGTAAATTTGATATTTTGAGAAGTTTGAATTAACAGGTGCAAAGAGCATCAAATACTGTAAAACTCTTATATTTACTATGTTTTCATATCTTCCATATTTTAGAAGATATTTGATAAAAACTAAAAAGTCCGTTTTTTTCAAGGGATGATTTCAACCCCTAAACCTCGAGATAAGCACATATAAAAAAATACGTGTCTAATATTTTTTTATCCTCTACAACATATCCAATGCCCTTTCAAATCGATGAGGGACGCCCCCGACCGTTCCCTTGTAAGTGCATGAAATTTCGAAACTTGAACTGCCGCCATTTTTAATGGGGGGTCATAGCGACTTAAAATTTTAAGGGTATGTTTGTTATGAAAAGACCTTTCAAATGAGCCCCCACTCGACCCTTAGTCCAATTTAAAATTTTCAACCCCCTTTTATCCCCGCGTACCAGGGGGTAGAGAATGATCAGTATCCATGTCATAGGGTAGCTTTTTTGAAAAATCAAAATACGTGTTTTACCGTTTTTTGATATTTTCATTTTTACAAAAATTATTTAAGGGTTTCCACACTTTTGACAAACTCAGTATATATATTGTCTGGCATTACTACTTGTAGCGCCATCTAACGGAGAAAGGTATGCAACTGGGCATTTTTTGAACGACGTTTCTTTCGTAATGAAAATTTAGGGATTCTGATTTTATATTAAAAATTCTCGACTTATAGTGTACGTAGGAAAAAAATAAAGACAGTTTTATCATGTAAATCGACCCTAAGGAATCGATTGAAGTTACTTAGAACTTGATCAGATTAGCCATTTGAGCGGTACGATAATCTTGCCTCGGATCAACTAAGTGCTTCGCGTAAAGAGACACGGCCGGTCTCGCGATCCGTGCGCGTTACTTCGCTCTCGCGTGCACTTGGCGCGAGACACTACCGTGTCTCTTGATGTGTTTGTTTGAACTTCATTTTCCCTTCATATTGCACATATTCCTGTCGGTACTTCTAAGTACCAACTATATAATTAAACACTGTAAAAAGTATTTTCCTCTTTCCTAAAGTTATTCTGCATCAAAATTTGTCTAATGATGCAAAAATACAATTAAAAAATTGCTGGTTAATAAATTCAGGATATAAAGGGTTAATGTAACTTCTCAAGATGAGAATACTCCTATTTCAAAATTAACTGTTGAAAGAACTGTAAGGCGATTTGAAAAAACAGGGAGCGTTAAAAATCGTCTTGAAACAAAAAAGCCTGCCGCAGCAACAAATGAAGAAAAGGCACCGGATGTGTTACAATCATTCGTAAAGAATCCACAAACTTCTATCCGCAGAACTGCTTAAGAACATGAAATAAATCCTATGTCTGTGCATAAGATATTAAAAAGGAATAAATTTCGCCCTTACAAAATACGACTTGTTCATAAACTAAACGAAAACGATTTTGATCGATGTGTTCAGTTCTGTGAGACTATAGCGAAAATAGATGTAGAACCTAACTTTTTTATCTAACAGTCTTCTCAGATGAAGCAATGTTTCAATAAAACAGTATTTTTAATAGACATAATTGCAGATTATGATCAGATACGAACCCTCATTGGATGTGGGAACATAATATCTACATAAATTGAACGTTTGGGTAGGAATATTAAATAACAGATTAATAGAACCATTCTTTATTAAAGACAACTTGACAGCCCATTCATATGAAGACATACTGAAAAAACAAATTGTCCCTGTAATCAGCGCGATCGTTGGTGAAAACTTTCAACAGGGTTTCAACAGGATGGTGCAGCACCGCATTATGGGCGAAACGTATTTATCTAGACACAATTTTTCCTGAATGGTGGATAGGGAAGAGAGGCATGATCGAGTGACCAGCTCGGTCACCGAATTTCACACCTCTCGACTACTTTCTCTGGGGTTATCTGAAAGATCAAGTATATAAAACTAAACCTCGGAATTTAAATGATCTACGAGATTGGATTCTTGATGAAGCGGTACTTATACCTAATAAATACATAGAAGATGCTATTTCAGGTTTTTATCATCGATCAGCGCATTATCAAACAATGAATGGTAAACAATTTGAACGTTTGATACATTAATCGCGCTTTCAATTGCTAGTTCTCCTTTATGATCATCTTGCCTTAGCTGGCTGGATACTTCTTTGATCTTGCCTTGACTGATTGGATATTTCTTTGATCTTGCCTTGGCTGGTCAGATACTTCTTTGATCTTGTCTTGGCTGGCTGGATACTTCTTGGATCTTGTCTTGGTTGACTGGACATCTTATCATAAAAAGCTTGATAACTTCGAAACGGCTTACTCGAAGTAGAAAAAATTATAATGCTTTGAAAAGGTCTGAAGAAGGGCTACAAGAACGTGTAATAAAAAATAGGGAGTTCTATTTAAAAAATTCAAGTTGATCTTGTCCTGACCTTGCTATTTAAGGTAAAATTCATAATGTCAGTAAATAGATCTTTTGAAAACTTATAATTTTTATTTGAAATATTTTCTTCTAAACTGTTTAGTTTTTGCGATATTTCACCGTCCCGGTACTTTTTAAACATTCTGTATATGTATATTACTTGAATAACACAATCAAACAAATAACGCAATCGAATATCTTATATGATATGCATATTATTTGGATAACATAATCTTAATAAATAACGGTACTTCAAAGCCATATTGGCATACTTTATTATATGCATTGATTTGTCCGAAATAATCAAGTTGAACTTCAAGTTCACGAACTTTTATTGAAAGTAAATTACATTAATCTTAACAAGAAGGCAAATAGCAAAAATTGTTTTTAATTTTTTTAATATTTAAATATTTAAATATTAAAATTTTTTAAATATTTTATTTGTGTGAAATAGAAAAGAGGGAAAAAGATGCGTTTTGTAACTTTATTAAATTTATATAAACCATTTGTACTGTAATATAAAGTAATATGATCTACAAGTTTTATTATTGTTCACTCGAATACTGCAACAACTGTAAAGAAGAAAGAAATATATATATATATAAGGTGTTTCATAAATCGGTACGAGTAATTCGTGGAGACAGAGCAGAATACGATAAACATAAAGTCTCATACTATTTTGCGATATTTGCGATAGTTATCGATAGTTATTAATTACAGAAATCTGCCGAAGACCGCGCGCCGTAATGGATGGTTGGAGAAGCGTGGCAGCCGCTTGGAACACAGCGCTGCTTAATCGATCTAGCAACTGTTTCCGGCATATGGCGGAACGTAAGAGCGACGAAATAAGACAAATCGTTGTTCTTTCGCTCACCTAGCGCCGGCAACAGTTGCTAGATAGATTTGGCCGCATTCTTACCCAAATAGCTACAATGCTTTTCCAATCATCCATCTCGACTCGCGCTCACTCCTCAGAATCCTATAATTAATAATAATAATTATTGCGAATATTGTAAAACAGTACCAGACTTTTTGTTTATCTTGATCCCATGTTCTACATCCCATGTCCATTGTTTTGAGATATCCTATACATACAGGGTATCCCAGTCCATACGTATCAAACACCCGACTTTAACGTGACACTTTAGAGAAAATTTCAGACTATAGTTCAGAGAATAGTATGGTTTCAAAGGGAACATAAAACAACTATATCGGTTTGCTTACAGATGTCACTATTTTCGAGATATTCACTGATCATTACTTTTCTTAAATGAAAAACCAATTTCTTATTATATTATCTTTTTCTATCAATTAATTTGAACAACTTTTGTCTAGAACAATTTTTTTATTTGCCTAATATGTTTTGAGATATTTAAGGAAAACTTGATAACTTTTTAATATATGATATATTAATTTATTGATTCCCCTTAGGGTTACGAATTTCATACACTTCTCTTATTCTCTATCTTAACCTACTTATTCTATCCTATCCTATCCTTCTCCCTACCTATACACACACACACTCTACGTAACTCCCTCTCCTATTCTGGACTTCCGTTCCCGTTTACAGTTTATCTTCCCTAATCTCATCCTCCTCACACTCATCCTTCCACTCACTCTTCCCCTCCCCACTTACCCTATCCAACTCCCTTAACAATTTCTCTCCCTCCCCCTCCTTCCCTCCTTCCCCAAAACCTCCCCCGCCATCTCCTGCCATGTCCCTTCCTCCCCCAACCCTACACATTCCCACACGTGCTCCCATACTTCCTTTTCTACCCCACATATCCTACACTTCTTTTCTTCCTCCCCCTCCAAGTTTTCCCTCCTTTCATTCCATTTCCTAATCTATATCTTGCAACTCTTTGCCACCTACTTTCTCCCCAACTTTTCTTTAAATACTTTGGCACTGCCACCTCCTTTATCTATCTATACCATCCATTATATCTTGACTCCTCAATTTTCTTCCACCTTTCTTCCCTTTGCTGCTTCCTCTCTCTTTCCACTATTTTTCCCCTCTCATCTCTCCCCTCTCCCTCAATTCCTCTACCTCCTCTATCCTCCACCCTTTTGTCTCTATGTACGCCTTCCTCTCTTCCTCCCATCCCTTCCTTGCCCTTCCTTTTTTCATTCCTTCCCTCATTTCTACCCAACACCTTGCTAGCTTCCCTCCCCTCCCTTTCTCCAATTTCTTTTCATATCCCCATGCCCTCAATCCTGCCTTTCCACTTATTTTCTCTCTCTGCATCTCCTCTCTAACAATGTACTCTGGCATGCACCTTTTCACTCCTAACACCCATCTTAAATATTCTCATGCACCCTTTCTATTCCCTCTCTCTCTTTCCATCCCCAAATTTCTATCCCATAACTCATCACCGACCATATCAGCCTATCGAACAACCAAATTCTTCTTCCCCAGTCCCCTCCAAATCTCCTCTTTCCTATTCCCCACACCTGTCCCAGTATTGCCCCTCTTTTTATCCTCTCCCTCACTTGTGCCTCCTGTGATCCATTATTCTTTATTGTGTATCCTAAATACTTAAACTCCCTTGCCTCCTCTATTTTCTTCATCACCTTTGTTTTATCCACATTTACTTCCAATCCTTTCCCATCTAAATATCTCTCCATCCTTGCCATCATTCCCTTTAATCCCTCTTGATCCTCTGTCAACATCGCAACATCATCCGCATAGGCCAATGAGTACACCTTCCTATCCTTCAACCTCACTCCCCCCCATCCTCCTCTCTCTAACTTTTCATCCATATCCGCCACCAACAAGGTAGACAAATTTGAACTTATTGGACAGCCCTGCCTTACTCCCCTCATCATCCAGAACCTTTCCCCTTCCCTTTCCCCCACCCTCACTCTACAGACTGTTTCTCTTAACAACTCTTCGCATCTTCTGATTATACCTTCGCATATTCCCCTTCTCTTCCTCGCTTCCATCAGTACCCCCCTACCCACTGAGTCAAACACCGCCTTCAAACCCATAAATAGCACCATCATCTTCCCTTGCTTATCTATTTGTCTATTCACTAAATAATTCAGTACATATATGTTATCTATGGCTCCCACCCCTTTTCTGAAGCCCGTCTGACTCGGAGGCAACAACTCTTTTTCCTTTATCTCCTCCTTCAGCCTTCTGCCAAAATTGCAACGTATATCTTATACGCCGTCTGCGTCAACGTCACTCCTCTGTAATCTTCCGGTCTCTCTTTTCCTTCCTTCTTTAATATTGGCACAATAACTTCCTCTTTCCAATCCAGCCATTCCTCACCCTTCCACACCCTATCACAAATCTCCCATATCCACTCTTCCACTTCTTCCCCCCCATACTTCCACACCTCATTTGGAATTCCATCCCCCCCATCGCTTTCCCATTTTTTAGCCTCCTTATTATTAACTTGATAACTTTTTAATATTTAACAATATTTAACGTACCATATCTCACTATCTGTCGGAAAAAAAAGTGGTACTAGACTTTTTTGCTCTATTTAGTTTTAAGAATATATTGTTATAATAGCGCCCTGGCTTTTGTTAACTTATTGACATTTGAAAATTTCAAAATTATTAAATTAACCAAAATCAGGACGTTTTTATAATAATATATTCTTGACACGAAATAATAAATCTAGTACCACTTTTTCGTTCGACAACTAACGAGATATCGTAAGTTAAATACTGAAAAAGTTATCAAGTATTCAAGTTTTTTTTAATATTTCAAAAATTTTCGGCAAATAAAAAATGTTTCAGATAAAAGTTGTTCAAATTAATTGATAGAAAAAGATATAATGAAAAATTCGTGTTTCCATTTAAGAAAAGTAATGATCAGTGAATATCTCGAAAGTGGCGCAAATATCCGCAATAGATATCGTTATTAATAACAGAAATCTGAGGAGTGGGGATGCGTCAAAATGTATGATTGAAGAAGCTTTGCAGCCTCTCAAGCTATAACGCAGCCTAATTGATCTATACTCCGTTCACGGGGAGAACGACTAGCTCCGCGCAGCTGTGGGCAGAGTGGGGAGACTCGTGCACACTCATAGACATAGTATACCTAGACTGCGTATTCAAGTGGGGGTAGTGGGGATAGAGCTCACGTAGAAAAGAATGCACTCCGTTTTGTCTGTGCGTTCTCTTTTTCATACTCTTGATGGAAGGAAAGAGGCACTGTTTTTTTTTTCCAATATAATGATCAACCTAGATCACCTTGCCTTCAGCTCATCCCGAGGTATATACAGTTACAGCCGCTACACTGTCGTATAGGTTAGCAACTGCCCCTTCCTTATTCCCCTTCCATCGAGAGTATGTGAGAGAGAACGTACAGACAAAACAGAATGCATTCTTTTCTACATGAGGTTTACTCCTATCCTTGAAATTTAGGAGAACGCGCAGTCTAGGTATACTATGTCTATGTGCACGCTACTCAATACTGTGTATGTAATTATCATTCGCTTGGGTCCCGGCGCACAATCAACTTTCTGTAAATAGAATAGTTGAAATAATTTGAACATCGCGCTATCATACCGCAGTACGTAACGACTAACCTTCAAATGTTCGAAATATGTTAGTGCGTATTTATACGCACAGTCTCCCCTTCCAGCTGTAGCCGAGTCTGACCTGGCTTGGTAGCGTGGAAGGGGACAATAGGTGTCCCGTCAGGCGGGATCTGACCGAACTAGACGAAATGCCTGGTCGTTCTCTCCATGAACGGAATATAGCAACTGTTGCCGGCGCGCGGCGAGGGGAAGAACAACACGCCGCTATTCGTGTCTTATCTCGCCGCTTCTACGTCTCGCCGCACGCCGCCAGCGGTTTACTAGATCGATTGGGTCGCGCTAATTGTAAGAATGAGCAGTTGAAATATTCCTCCAATACTATTTCGGCGCACTATTATTTGTCAGATTTCTATAATTAATGACCCAATAATTAGTACGAATATCACAAAACAAGACTTTTACATATGCTATAATCTGCTCCATGTTTCCATGAATTCCTTGGAACGAGTTGCGGGATATCTTGCGTACAGGGTACGATTTGCAATTAACGTTCGTTAGAATGGAGGGTACAACATTTACCGCGTGCTGTAATTCCAGATAAGCGTCTTTCAAGCCCTTGGTATTAATTATTATGGAATACTCTTTAAGGTAGACCAAAACTTCGTCAAAAGGTGACCTGTACAACGATCTGGAGTTCCATAATGCATCATTACAACTCGTCTTGCGATAACAAAGCCACGCGGAGGCAAACTTCACAAAATGACATGACACGTGGCGCGTGTTCGTGACATTGAAGACGAGATCATAATTACTCATTACTGCGCAGAGATGGGGTATCAGCGCCACCATTTCGGTATAGCAAAAGTCCAACAAAGCCGTTAAACATTGATACGTCATGTCTCTTTGCGCAGAATCTTTCTAAAACGAAAAAAAAACGATAATTTAAAGACAACTGATTAAAGCAATTCTAAATTATTAGATAATTATGTCAACCTCTTTCCTCTCCCCCTCTCTCCCCCTCTCTCCCTCTGTTTTCCTCTCCTTCTCTCTCTCCCTCTCTCTTTCTCTCTCTCCCCCCTCTCTCTCTCTCTAAGCGAAGAAAGAATCGTCAACTTTCCTAAGATACACTTTTCGTCGCAATACGAGATATTCTCGTACGCTTCTATTGGGTGAGTGCAAAAGTTCGTGCGGAGTTTGTGAGTAAAAGTCACACAGTGATTAGGCAAATAAAAATCTTTATTCAATCAATGATATATTCTCCATCGTTTTCTATAATCTTTTCCCAACGTTCTGGCAGCATACGGATGCCTCGATCATAAAAACTGCGTGGTTTAGATTCGAAGAACGAAGAGACGCCGTTTTTTAAGGCCTCCAAAGAGTCAAAGTTTTTTCCATTTAAATAATTTTGCAATGACCGGAACAAGTGATAGTCAGATGGTGCGATATCAGGAGAATACGGTGGATGCGTTAAGACATCCCATTTCAGGCTCTTCAGTTTGTGCAGCGTCTTTTTCGAAACGTGTGGTCTGGCGTTGTCGTGATGAAAGACGACTCCCTTGCGATTTGACAAAATCAGACGTTTCTCTTTTATTTCTCGATTCAGATTGGTTAATTGGCGACAATACTTGTCCGAATCAATCGTTTCGCCAGCGGGGAGAAGCTCGAAATAGATTATGCCCTTGCAATCCCACCAAACAGAGAGCATCACCTTCATCGAGTGCAAACTGGCCTTTAGCATTGCGTCACCATGCTCACCTGATTGTTTCCATGTCCGTTTGCGCTGAACATTGTTGTAGAGGACCCATTTCTCATCGGCCGTCACTAGTCGATCCAAAAACGACTCATTATTGAGCCGCCCGAGTAAAGAAACGGCTGCAGAAATTCGCTTGATTTTGTTCTTCTCGGTCAGCAAATGGGGCACCCATATATCGAGCTTCAAATCGAATCCCATCTTTTTTAAACGCCGAAAAGCGGTTGATCGGTCAACGTTTAGTGCTGTAGCAACTTCTTCTGTTGAAATTCGCGGATTATTGAGCACTAAAGTACGCAAAACATCGTCATCAATGTTAGAAGGTCGACCAGAGCGTGGCTCGTCTTCAAGGTTAAATTCTCCGCGCCGAAATTTAGCAAACCATTTTTCCACAGTTCGTTTAGCTGGTGCTTCATCCTGATAAACATCCTGAATGTTTTTTACGGCTGCGGCAACGTTTATTCCCTTCCGAAACTCGTAAAGCATAACATGCCGTAAATGCACCTTATTGATATTCATTTTTAAAATGATATTTCTCGAAGCAGTTTGTATGAAAACAAATGATTTTTTTTTTAATAATAGCTGAAGACGTCACCTTTCCAACGTTATATAATATGTAGATGGAAGTATTAATGACAACACTTTACGACGCTTATAACTCTATCTATTGAAACTCCGCACGAACTTTTGCACTCACCCAATAGATCGCGATAGATAATTTTAAATATAATTAACCTGCGCATGAATGATATGAAGAAGTTCATAGAGGTTGATAATCATATCCGCATCTTCGGTATTAGCCACAATCTTTTGTAAAGTAACAGCCGATCCGTCAAAATTCTGTGTTAAAAGCTCACATATAAATTGCATTCCATTCATTACGCAGCATGGCGATTTTGACGTGTACGTTAACAATTCGACCAAGCTTTTCACATGGACGATCAACGACTGTTTGCACTGAAATTCATGCAAGATATTTGAAATTAAGATATTTCAACATTTTTGCAAAACTATAATTCACGCGCATGGATCTCTTGCAAGCGATCCTTTAGCGCCGTTACCTTAATCACGGATCTCTTCTGACAATGAACTATGAACGCAAGCAACTTCACGCTGATCGACGATAATTCCGATCTTTCCTTCGAAAATCCGTAAATATACAGATTCTTTAGTAGCGCAGCATTCTTTAAGTAGATTCGAAGCACTATAATAGAAACGTTTCTACTAAATATATTATTCTACATTGGAAAACTGCCTTTATTTTTTGCTAAAAACATGCATAATCTTTACAATCGTTTCAATAAAATTGCCCTTATTTATATATTGGGTCTGGGAAAAAGTTCGTGGCGTTTTTCCCGATAGATGGCGTCAATTGCAAATAACTCAGGAAACACAGATCGCAGCGACACTACTGAATACTCGTTGGAAAGGTGACACTTCGAGCGTTACTTTGAGTGTATAAACATCGAAATTGGTGTAGTGGTTGGAAAGTTGTTTGCGTTTGAAAATGGAGAAAAGTAATGAAAAATTGCGCCATATTTTGCAATATTATTACAACAAAGGGAAGAACGCTGCTCAGGCTTATGAAAAAATTTGTGCTGTGTACGGTGAAGGTACTTTATCAAAATCTGCTGCGCGGAAATGGTTCGCTCGCTTTCGTTCAGGTAATTTTGATATGAAAGATAAGTCACGCTCTGGTCGTCCAATCATTGAAAAAACTGATGAAATTCTTGAAAAAGTCTAGCAAGATAAGCATATCAGCAGTGTCGATATTGGTATGGAGCTAGGCATTGACCACAAAACTGTTTTGAATCATTTACACAAAGCTGGCTACAAAAAGAAGCTCAATGTATGGGTTCCTCATGAGTTGAGTGCGAAAAACATGATAGACTGAATTCACATCTGCGATGCGGTGCTGAAATGCAATAAAATCGAGCCATTTCTGAAACGTGTCATAACCGATGATGAAAAATGGATCACGTACGACAATCGGAAGCGTAAAAGATCGTGGATAAGGGATGGTGAGCCGTCACAAGCGTTCGCGGAGCCAGGATTAATGCCGAGAAAGGTGATGCTGTGTGGTCGGACTGGAAGGGAATTGTCCACCATGAGCTACTTCCAGTTGGTCAGACGATTGATTCTCAACTCTACTGTGGACAACTAGAGAGATTACGCCAGGTAACTGAAAGAAAACGGCCCGAATTGAATAATAGGAAAGGTGTTGTCTTCCATCAAGACAACGCCCGACCACACACTTCTTTTATAACCCGTCAAGAATTGGGAGAGCTTGGTTGGGAAGTTTTGATGCATCCACCGTATAGTCCAGACATAGCACCCTCTGACTATCACTTGTTCCGATCTCTGCAGTACTCTCTCAATGGAATTAAGCTGGTTTCAAAAGAAGCCTGTGAAAACCACTTGATTCAGTTTTTCAACCAGAAACTACAGAAGTTCTTCACCGATAGCATCATGGCTCTACCCGAAGAATGGCGAAACATTTTCGATAATAATGAAGCATATTTGGTTTAAATAAATTCATTTTCACACTATAAGAAAACCAGTTGAATTTTACTAAAAAAACGCCACGAACTTTTTCCCAGACCCAATATTTCACTTCTTACCTTTGAATGATTTACGTGACACAGCAACCACTAGAAATATATACGCTTGCTTTATCACCGAAGTCATAAATTTCAAATTCGTAGTCTTCTTCAATACAATGTTGGTAATACTATTGGCGCCACGCTCAATGAGATATATCGGTATTGTATACGGTTGAGTAATATTAGCTAATTCCAAAACTGCCTCAACATGCACAACTGCAAACACAAATTCAGTCAAAGGCGCGTTCCGCAATGACTATATTAACAAGAGATTATTATATTAGGAGATTGAATTAGTTCTGGCCCCTAGCAATAGATGGCTTTAGTAATAAGTTAATGGTTAGTACGAATGTTGAAATCCGGCAACACTAGAAGATTTGACATTTTTCTATGATATATGATAGTTTATGCTCTATTGTTCCTGATAGTTTCATTGTTTATTCGCGTCTAAAATGAATCGTATAAAATTGTGTTTTCGACATTTATTATTTTTTTTGTTTGTTTTGAAAAAATCGGCAATTGAAGCTTATGAAATGCTTGTTACAACTTATGATGATCAAGCTCCATCGTATTCCAATTGTAAATTTTGGTTTCAACGACTTAAAAGTGGTGATTTTGATTTGAGTGACAAAAAATGTACTGGTCAATCAAGAAAATTCTAAAATTCTGAGTTGTAAGCATTATTGTATGAAAACACCGTTCAAACAGAAAAATAATTGGCTGAATAACTCAACATCGATAAATGAATAATTTCTTAATGCTTACATGCCATGGGAAAAATTCAAAAAGAAGACAAATGGGCTCCACATGAAAGTGCCACTGCAAATCGTTTAAATATCGCCATATTTTTGCTTGCCGGACAGAAAAAAAGTTGTGGTGAATTGTAACTGCAGATGGAACGTGGAATTATTTTGATAATTCAAAACGAAAAAAATTATGGGTTGATTCAGGACAATCATCAACATCGACATCAAAACTTTAATATTTAAGGTTACAATGCAAAGCAATGCTTTATTTGCTTGGTAGGATATTGAAAATGTGTATGTATGAGCTTCTAAAACCGAATGAAACAGTTACGGAGGAGCGATAACAATTGAACAAATCGAATTGATGCAAAAAAAGCCAGCGATAGCCAGTAATAGATGCAAAATAATTCTTTTGCACGAGAATACTCGTCCACATGTTGCTTTAATCGTTAAACAAACATTGTTAGTACTCGAATGGGAGATCTTTCCATATTCAGCATACTCTCCAGACCTAGCACCATCTGATTACCATCTATTCCGATCGATGCAACTTTGGCAGATACACACTTTAATAATTACGAGGATGTGCAAAAATAGGTGTCTGGATTGCTTCGAAAGACAGATCGTTCTATCGTCGCGGAATCGCTGCCAGAAAGATAAGAAAAAGTCACGGCTAATGACGAAAAATATTTTGATTGATGTAAATTTAACCATTTTTTTTAGATGAAGAAAGAATTGATAAAGTAAGACTAGAATTAATACAATCTCCTAATATATCAATTGATTATTATATATCAATTATGATCAGTATACAGTGCCAACATCTTTTTACTTAAAATAGTCAGGAGAAACAAATTATGAAATATCATCTCGGATCAAAATTTAAATTTTATATTTATTTTGCAAATAGCAAAACAAATCTGAAAGATTAATGGATATTTTTTTAAGGTGCAATATTATAAAAGTATACTGTCTTCTAATTTATGTAAATTTCTCCATATTGAAGTCCTGCAAACATATAGCATTAATATCTACAGCTCTGTACTTAAAAGAAGGAACCTCGAGAATTTGATAAGTAAAGATACCCTTTGCTACGTAATATAGCACGCATTCCAATTATGTTTGAGATTAGACTCTTTACAGGCAACTTTCGAGATGAGTGCAGCATATTTAAAGTGTTATGAAGCTGTGTTCTTATATTTTCACACTAAAGTTCCCAAAATGTCTTTCATAGCTGCTGCCAAGTATATGAAAAGATCAAGATAGCTTGTAGAAAAATAGGTGACACGGTATAAGGAGAACTAGAACTAGAACTGTCGATGACCTGTCAAGATGCGGTAAAGAGTGAATCTCGACATCATAAAAGAATAAAATATTTGAATGTATGTATGAGCAAATTCCTCTGCTAACTCTGAGACAAACTCAAAAAAAACTAGCCAAAAAGGGAATAAAATTTGATTTAATGACCATCAAACGCTATTTGGAAGAAATGAAATTTATTTAGCAAAGTGCACGTGAGAAAACGTTGCTTAATGAAAAATATATTGAAAAACAAATGAATTGGGCAATCATCGATAGCAATTGGAGCAAAATTATATTTCCTGAAATTTCTTTATAGGCATGGATACATATGAAGTGTGTTTAATCTGCATATGATCGTCGATTGTTGATGTACTGATAAATGTACACTGATAAATATTCAGTAGAAATTCATGTTTGAAGTTTCTTTAATATTCGAAGGCTTGGAGATTTAATCCTTTTTCACAAAAAATCTCAAAGAGCACAATATAATAAAGACTCTGATAAGCGAGATTTGTTGAAAGCTGCCAAAAAGTGCTTTGGAAAAAGAACAGCCAATTGAATATTCTATGAACACAACGATCCCAAATATCAAGTCGTCTATATATAGCGTGCAAATAGAAAAATAGCATAATGACTTTAAACTGGCTTGCACAATCATCGAATGTAATTCAGTTGAAAACGTTTCTTATTATACGAGTCTTATGAAGAAGTTTCAAGGAAAATGTGTATTTATTGCAAAACAATTGTCACTACATCTTTGAGAAAGAATAATGGGTGAAAAGAGCTAATTTTGGCCCATCGTAGGAAACGGACAAAACATATCATTTCCAGAGGATTTTGACTTGCTGAACATGATACCGTCGTTAGTTTCTATTTAAAACCTGGACATGTTCTAATCCGAGGAACAAATAATCCTCCAATAACACAGGCCGACAAAATTTTACGAAACTCCAGACCCTGAGACCAGACTATACTTTCCCGAAGGTTTTCGGTCCGCTGAATCCGAATCCGGCAGCGGAATTGCTCCATCACATCAGGTTTGCGAGATATTCTAATCTGAAAGTGCAAAAAACACAGTTTTTCGCTATATTCGGGGTTATATTACAACGTGAATTAATTTTTCTCTACAAAACTCGTTACAGTATCTGAAAGTACTACTCTTCACCTTCAAAATGCATTTTGTATTTTTCATATATCTTATTTCTTCTCGAAGATATCGTCCGTTGAAATTTTTTAGTTTGGCGTTTTCGTTACTACCTTACAAAAAAAAAGAAGTTAATCCGGCAGGTGAAAGTTGTGTAAAGGGGAGGTGGACAATCCGATTGGGGTCGGCCCACCTCGCCAATCCCCTCCCCTCCCTGAATCTTTCAGGAAGGGGGGGATAAGGAGGAAGGGTGGATGTCCCCTTCCTTCTAGGAGATACCAGAAGGCCAACCGGCGGGGTTACCCGCCGGAGATCGCGCTCCTCCCACTAATTCCCCGAAAGAGGAAGGGGGTGCGGTACAAGAAGGCAACTGGGGCCGGGGGGTTGGAGAGGGAATGCGGGAGCAGTTCCCCTAACTCCCCTTCTCACGGTCCGACAAGTAGACATCCCGCAGGGATTTTAGTCGGTAAGAGCCCGACATAACCCCCGCCCCCCTTCAAGGGGGGCGGGGGTATCCATGATGGATTTCCCCTGCGTGAACAAAAAAAAAGGTGAAAGTTGTGTAATTATGTTTTTTGGGACGCTGAATCCGAATTCGTTGTCGGTTCAACCCCATGACCATCAGGTCATGGTTTGTCCCTAACCTCAAAAAAGATTTTCGAATTCGCCTTTTTTTGATCAATTATTAGGGACAAACCATGACCTGATGGTTATGGGGTTGAACCGACAACGAATTCGGGTTCAGCGTCCCAAAAAACATATAATTACACAACTTTCACCTGCCGGATTAACTTCTCTTTTTTTTTGTAAGGTAGTAACGAAAACGCCAAACTAAAAAATTTCAACGGACGATATCTCCGAGAAGAAATAAGATATATGAAAAATTCGAAATGCATTTTGAAGGCGAAGAGTAGTACTTTCAGATACTGTAACGAGTTTTGTAGAGAAAAATTAATTCACATTGTAATATAACCCCGAATATAGCGAAAAACTGTGTTTTTTGCACTTTCAGATTAGAATATCTCGAAAACCTGATGTGATGGAGCAATTCCGCTGCCGGATTCGGATTCAGCAGACCGAAAACCTTCGAGAAAGTATAGTCTTGTCTCAGGGTTTTAAAAATGTCGGCCTGTGTAATCGATTGGCCTGGAAAACCTTTACATAAATTTTGAAGCTATTGCAAACTTGTGTATTAGCTAAATTATCTGAAGACAATTTAGATTTTTTATTTGATAGAATTATTCTCGGTTCATAATTAATATAACAGTTAAATATATAGTTAAATAGCTAAATAATAGTTAAAAGTGTTCTGTTTTTATACAAAATTTGATATAACAAATAATATACACGGTATCATAGACCACCCATACCACCTGACCTTTCCGTAAACACATTTTAGAGAAAAATGTTTGAACAAAAGTTATATGGTTTTAAAAGGGTCATATAATAACTAAATCATTTTGCTTACAGATGGTACCACTTTCGACATATTTACTGATCATTGTTTTTTTTAAACGAAAACCTTTTTTATTATCATCATTTTTATCATCATCCTTTTTTATGAATTAATTTAAATAACTATTGTCCGAAACATTTTTTTATTTGCTGAATATTTTTTAAATATTTAAGGAATACTCGATAACTTTTTCAATATTTAACTTACGATATTTCACTAACTATTTGTCGAAAGAGAAAATAGTACTAAACTTTTTTACTCAGTTTAATCTCAATATATATTGTTACAATAATGCCTTACGTTTTGTTAGCTTATCAACCTTTGGAAATTTCAAAAGCATCAAATTAACAAAAGTTAGGGTTCAATTGTAATATATTCCCAGCAAACACAATTACATAACAGTTACATTGTCGTAATGTAACGAAATGTATTAGGTGTACAAATGAAATTATTTTAAGCAGTTATGAAATCAATTTTAAATTGAATAGATTTTCCCGCTCTTTCGTGATGATGCAATGTTGACATATAGCTATTAAAAAGAACATATAGGGCAAGAGCATAGGCTTTT